ATCAACTCGCCGAGTTCCTTCTCATAATTCAAAATAATTAAATAAAATAATATACCTGGAAACCCGGCTATTACATTAGGCATCAAGTCTGCATGATCGCCAAGGGTTACGCACTAAGTCTGCATAGTCACTAGGGTTTAGGCATCAAGTCTGCATGATCGCCAAGGTTTAGATTACATCGGGTGAACACATCGTTCCCAACACCTACAAGTTGCGAGTCTGCTAGTGTTCCACTGGACTGTCTAGAATAGTCCATGGTTGTCATCCATAGTCTACTAGATGAAGGGGCTAACATTTGGGAACAAGGTTTCTCACATCGTCCACCTCTCACCCTTACCTCATGGTCTATATCACCTCTCAACTCATCATCCAACTCATATTTCATCTACCCATGTTTTACCCAACATATTATGTAGATATAACTACATATACAGTTTAAATTATTTAAAACATGTATAAAATCGTTCATCCAACATAGATAGCAAGTATACAGGTTATATGCACATATAACACGTAATTTCTATAAAATACCTCATATCTATGTGTAAGATGAAACTAACTATCCACTCACCAGAGAAGGTGGTGACTCGGCACTCGAACAACACTTCGTTACTCTCAACACAATTTTCCTCGGACAAAACCTAGTATCATTAACACTAGAGTTTAGTCTAATATTCACAGAGACTAATTAATAGTCTAGATATTATTACTATTATATAAGCATTAACAATATTTATATAACTCATAATAATATCCCAAGTACTTATTACAAGTTCCTAATAACGTTACTATAATTAAATAAAAGTTATATTAAAAAAGCGTAGGCGTAGCTCACTTACAACGAGTTTTATAGAAACCGGGCATCGCTTGGAGCAACGTTTTCGAACCGAAAGACCCTTTTTCTCGGGACTCCGAGAGCCTCGGGGCTTCCTTCGGGTGCTAGGGGGTTTACCTCGACTTAGGGGAGGGTTAGGGATTCCTTCGGACCTGCGTGGGGAGCTCCTCGGCTATGCTCAACGTTCGTACAACCATGGTGTGATGTGGTTCATCCGAGTCCAAGGGTTCCAAACGTGAGGAACTTCTTGTACGCGCTGCGTAGCGAGACCGAGGTTAGCAAATGAAGGCTGAGATTGTGCCACGTCACCTCCTTTCGTAACAGCTTCGCAAATTCATACCCTGACTTCAAAAATTCGTATCTTTTGCATACGAGCTCTATTTTTGATGTTCTTTATATCCACGTGTAGGCGGGAACGTACTCTACAACTTTTTTTTTAGAATTTGTCGGCTAATTTTGAATTTATTTTAAAAGTTATATATTTAACACGCCGGGACATGGTTGGCGCGTTAAAAATCCATAACTTCTTCATCTGACGTCTGTTTTTGTCTGTCTTTTTACCGTTACGCTACTATTAACGGGCTCTTTGATTCTCATTTAGGTTGTGTCGGCCAGAAACTGCTCGATTTAATATTCGAACTTTGGGCTGTATACTGCTAATCTGAAACTTCGAAAAATCATAACTTCCTCATACGAAGTCAGATTTGTACGTTCTTTTTATGGACGCTCTCGGTTTAACATATTCTACGACTTTTGTTGAGATCGCTAAGGCTAAATATCGATTTATCGTAAATTCACTATTTACGCTTCCCGGTGTCGTGTCGGTTCCGTTGCGAAACTTCGACGGGTCATAACTTCTTCGTTATAACTCGGATTTCGGCATTCTTTATATGCACGAAACCCTTGAGACATATCCTACAACTTGGTTAAGATTATTTATTCTAAATAATCTTTTGTCGAAAAGTCATTTCCGACCACTATTATCTTTAAATTGACTAGCCCGGATCTACGGGCGTTACATGAACCTCCTCATGTTTTTTATTATGATTTTGGGAAAACTATGATATTTGACATGTTTTGGAGAACTATTTTGTAAACAAGTGATGATTTAGGATTTTTTAAAAGTTTAAGATTTGTGTAAATTTTTGGATATTACAATTAACATGTATTAATATCAACAATTTGGATGTTACAAGTAAGTAATATCAACGACAGGCCTAGTATAATCATAAATGATCATACAACGCCACCCATTCCTTTCTCCTCCACCACCCTAACCGCCATCGCTAGCACCTTTGACATCAAACGATCCTATCACTGTCACCTCCATTAACTATACAACCGCCACCTTTGTCACCACCACATCTTCTGCTATCAACTGTCATAATCATTTATGATTGCTCAATCTGTGAAACAGACATCTATATAATCATTTATGATTAGACATATACGTATAAACATGTATAATCCTATATACTTATACCTCTCTGTCATATAATCATTTATGATTAGGCATACTCCGTTGTTGCCGATATACTGGAGCATTAGAGCGGCAAACGAGAAATATGTAGCTGAGGTTGAATCTCAAGATCTCTACTTTTTTTCATCTCAAGTGGGCCGCCCTTTCTCACTCTCTCTCTCTCTCTCTCTCTCTCTCTCTATATATATATATATATATATATATATATATATATATATATATATATATAGAGAGAGAGAGAGAGAGAGAGAGGGAGGGAGAGAGAAAGAGAGAGAGAGAGAGAAGTTAGACTTGTTTTTACTCCAGTATGCTATATTGTCATTACCATGAGTTATATCATAATAGAAAAGTTTCGAATATCCACTTATATTATATTTAATATATTTAATGGGAAAATAACTTATTAAGGCAATTAACTTTTTGATATGTTCACATCTAGGCAATTATCTTTTTTTTTTTGTATACATCTAGGTAACAAAATTGTTGGAAGTATTCACATATGGCCATTATGAAGATTAAATTCTAGATGTGAACATTTTCAACAAGTTCGTTACCTAGATGTGTACAAAAAAATAGCCACCTAAATATGAAAAAAACGAAAAGTAAAAGTAAATTACAGGAATGATCCCTGTGGTTTGGGGGAATTTATGTTTTTGGTCCTTAACATATTTTTTTTTAAACTTGGATGATCTCTACTGTTTATTTTTGTCGCGCATTTGGTCCATGTCTTACCTAAAAAGACTATTGTGCCCTTATTAATTTATTTTTTGATTAATTTTCTTATTTATGTATTTATTTTTTACATATTTAAAAAAATTAATAGACACCACATATTTGTATCTCCTCGGATGATCCATACTGTTTATTTTTTAATTAATTTATTTTTTTAACTCGGATGATCCTACTATTTAATTTTGTTACAAGTTTGGTATTTGTTTGACCTAAAAAGACTATTGTGCCCTTATTAATTATTTTTTTTAATTAATTTTCTTATTTATGTATTTGCTCTCTATATATTTAAGAAAAATTAGTAGACCCCGCATATCTGTATCTCCTCAACATCCCATCTCTCATCCTCCTCAACTTCAGTTTTTTTTTTCAACTTTAGTGATATCAACGTCTTTATCATCTCTTCTTTTTTCGGTCATTCAACTCCGTTGAATCAACACCACAACCCACTAAAGATGAAGAGACGATAGGTTATGGTATTAGTTCGCCAGAGTTGAAGTACCAAAAAAAGAATGATGGTGAAGACGTCGATGTTACTAAAGATGGAAAAGAAATAAAAGTTGGGAAGGATGAAAGATATGATGGTGACCAGTTAGACCAAAATTAAATTTGTCAAATGTGGTTTCGGGTTTACGGTTAGGAGATACAAATATGTATGATCTGTTAATTTTTTTAATATATAAAAAATAAATACACAAATAAAAAAATTAATTAAAAAATAAATTAATAAGGGCACAATAGTCTTTTTAGGTAAGACAAGGACCAAATGCGTAACAAAAATAAACAGTGGGACCATCCGAGTTAAAAAAAATAAGTTAGGGACCAAAAAACACAAATTCTCCCAAACCATAAGGACCATTTGTGTAATTTATTTTTATTTTTCCTTTTGTTTATATTTGATAAACTATTTTTTTGGTACAGTAATTGAAAATATTCATATATAAGATTTAATCTGTTATAGCAAGTCATAATAGTCATATGTGAACACTTCCAACAAGTTTGTTACCCAGATATGTACAAAAAATAAATAGTTACCTAGATGTGAACATACCGAAAAATTAATTACCTTAATAAGTCATTTTCCCAAATTTAATTAACGTTATTATACATACTTTGTGTTAAAAGACTAGATGGTATTGTCCTGTCGACATGCATAATTATATTTTATATTTATAGTTTGGAAAAATTGAAATGGTTGATGTTAGAATAAATCATAGCATTTCTTCAAATTCATAATTAAGTTCCTTACGTTTCTATGAATGGAAAAGCCGGTTAACTACTTATTTAAAAAGCAAAATTGTATATTTTTTCAAAAGTTTAAATAGCATATTTATAATTATTAACTTTTTTTAACGAAAAATATAATTTATTCCTAAACTACTACTATTTTCACTAATATCTGAGTTGAGACATAAACATCGACCTTAAAAAAAATAACAATACTTGATATCGTTGGGTTAGAGACCCTTTGGTTGACAAGTTGCATTAAACTATTAGTATTTAATAAAGTGATAAAGTTTTATATCTTAAAGAAATGTGATTGTGACTTCAAAGAATAAAGAGGAAGAACATTGTTGTAAGATTCAAAGCCCATTTTAAACCGGAATCTTGGAAAGTAAATAATTTCAATATTCGATCAGGGTACGTTTTGTTTTTCAAACTCTCTTAACTAAAGGCTTTAAATAGTTTCATCACATGCTACAGCAAGTCCATGTTGGTGTACATGACATAATAATCAATCATATGTTGGAATCATATGTTGGAATCATATGTTTGGTGTACATGACATAATAATCAATCATATAAAGAGATTAAAAAATTTATGAAGGTTGCCCATGGTTTGCTGGATACTTTGGACGGGAATTTTTTTAAGGATTATTTTGTGTGGTTAGTATGACGAGGGTATTCACCTATTTTATATTAACAAATAAAAACAAAATAGACTCATTGTCCCACCTTGTTTAATATTTACGGGGGACAAATAATCAAATATTGCAAATTTTATCTTATTAACATTGTTCTACCATCTAAATGTCCCTAAAATAGTCATAGTCTTAGGAAACCAAAAGTATTACAACAATCCATCATTACTAAATGAACTTCCATGTCGAAAGAGAATGCAATGGAGTTCCTTTCCACCCAACAATTAAACACTTGCCATTATTCTCAAGCATGCAATAATTTGCACATGAAAACCGTTGCAACACAAGTTGTGCCTGATAAAGACACGAATCACTTAACTCAATCTCCACCATCCCAAACCTTGCAAAAAATGACTTCCATGTATCCATCTTCACACTCCTACTCATCCGCTCATCACCCTCGGACGCCACTATGTTTTGTATCCCATCAGCAAAATGAACACCTTCCATCACCGATCTATGAACATTATCTCCACTCATACACGCTTCCAAGCAATCAAAATAAGCACCATAGAAGAATAACGTCTCTGTAAACCGCTTAACAAAAGAAGTTGACGTATGGTTGGCTTCAACCTCAGCTATAACTACAATCGAAGGGTTGATCGTTTTGATAGCTCTCATCATATTTTCCAATCTTTGGGGCTTCAAAATCATTGTTCTTAGAATCATATGACAATAGACTGCTATTACTTCTCCATCCTCGACCTCAAACTGGTTTTTTTCCACCTCGGTGATGTCCGATAGCACCAACATTTTAAAAGAGAATGGCAAACTTAAAGTTGTTGCAAAACTCTCCAATCTTTTTCCAGTTTCCGCGACTTCTTGGACATCTGAGGTTGTTGCAAAGGCAGTAAGTTTCAAAAGCTGGATTTGTGAACTTTGGTTTGCCAATGCTTGCATCATAAGTGTCCATTGTACACCGCTCCTAATATGGATGTCGATCAAATGTACTTGATTTGATGTCCCAACTTGATCGATGATTGCTTGTATGCCTGTGAAATGCAATACTTGATTGAATGGAAGGGCTTGATAAACGGCCAAGAATGTCATATTCGTTCCTATTGCCATAGGATTTTCATTCTTTAGACCCTACATGTAATAAGTTTGATCTCAATGGTTAAAGTTTTCTTCTTTACCCGAAGTACTTTATTTAGACAAACACGGGAGACAAATGAATAAATATTAGCGACAGATGTGACGATAAATTTACAGTCAGAACTCACAAGAGATGGTATTTGCAAAATGATGAAATTATGACCAACATATAAAAAAGAATGTAAATTTGAATTATTTTATTGTTATCGATCAAGTAAAATAAGTAACATTAATATATTAAAATAAAATATGAATATTTTTTTATTAAAAAAAAGTAGTCTTATGATTAAGCGTTTACATTATTTTTAGGATAAAAAACAAATAATAATAATAATAATAATAATAATAATAATAATAATAATAATAATAATAATAATAATAATAATAATAATAACAATAATAATAATAATAATAATAATAATAAGATAAAAAAAAAACACTATAAATTAATCAAATCGTGTTATAATAACATAATTATTTTGTTCTAAAATACCATTTATCTTTGTCAAAAAAATTCCTATGCTTACCACCAGGACCTTGAGTAAGTTACTATAAAAATATAAAATTCCATTAAAACGGGCTTAACTAACAAATTTTTTCTTATTTTAGCACTATAAACCATTTTTTTGTATTTTGTATTTTTGGTTATAGGCAGTTTTTTTTGGTTAGATTATTTTATTGAAAACAATATTTTCTTGCCTTTTTTTTTCATATTTTTGTAACTTTTCTTTAAAAATCATCTATCAATTATATATAATATTCATAAGAATTTCACATAACTAGAAAAACCGTCGTAAAATTATATATCAAAGTTAGGGATGAGTATGAATTGGTTTTGGATGAAATCGAATTCAAACCATAATGTTTGGTTTTTTGGGTTGAAACATCATTTGGTTTTGATTTTATTGGGTTTGGGTTCACATTTTTTTCATTGGTTCTTTTTTTTTTTTTTTGGTTTGGTTCGTCTTATTGTGAATATATATATATATATATATATATATATATATATATATATATATATATATATATATATATATATATATATATATATCCAATATTTTTTTTTAATAAATAATGGTTTAAGTTTGGTTGCTAATGATATGAAAAATTTAATATTCTTAGATTGTGTTAATATAAGAAAGAGAAATTAGATTTTTAATAAAAATGTTTCGATAGCATTGGATTGCTAATGTAGATAGTCTGAGTTATATTTAAGTCTTCTTGCAAACATTTTAATAGTATAGAAAGAAAATTTTAATGGGTGCGTATGATAGTTTTTAAAAAAAAAAAAAATTGTCCCCTTTTATTTAAACAAAAAGGTGATTATTAATTTATTGAAGGTTTGTACCTATTACATTACGTAGTCATATTTAATGGACTATTATTTATTAAATTCAAAAAGGAAAAATTGACCGATCAATTCAACCGTTTTTGTTGATCCGTTTATATATATATATATATATATATATATATATATATATATATATATATATATATATATATATATATATATATATATATATATATATATATATATATATATATATATATATAATTTTAATTAAAAAGGAATAATAATAAATAATAAATAAAATATTTTGATTTGTATATTTTTTAATTAAAAAATAATAATAAAAATATAAAACGTAAAATATATTTAAAAAATAAATAAAAGCATTAAAAACACAAATTGAAAAAATCATGATTTATTTGTAGAAAAAAGTAGACAAAATTGCAAGAATGATCCCTGCGGTATGTCCAAAAATGACACTTTGAGCCAAACAAGTTTGGACTAGCACAAATAGTTCAAAGGTTTTCATTTTGTTGCGTTTTTTTATCCAAAACAGTTTAAAATTTCTAAAAATGACGAATTTGTTCTTTTCCATTTGTTTTTTCTTTTTTTTATTATTTATTTATTTTCTAATTAAAAAATAAAAGAAAATATCTCTCTCTCTCCCCCCCTCTCTCTCTCCTGTTCATCACCCTATACCACCCACACAAACACCACCGCCCAACGCCACCTTCAATCACCCAAGACCTCCCTTATTTCTCAATTATCACCATTCCTAACAGTTGCAAATGTAAAAAAAAAGAAAAAGAAAGAAGAAGAGAGAGAGAGAGAGAGAGAGAGAGAGAGAGAGAGAGAGAGAGAGAGAGAGATAAAAGAAGGAGCTACGATCGATTCAGAAAGGAGAAAAAAGAGAAATGTAATTGAGTTTAAAAGAAGGAGAAGGAGGGTGCGACTTTGGGTGACTGTGTTTGTTATTGGATTTTGAGAAGTGAAGGGGGGTTCCGATTTCTAGTGTGAAATCCTTGTCGTCGATCTAACCTTGTTGGTGTTTCAAGGTTCGGTTTTTTCGATCTAACCCTTGCTGGAGCTTCCTGTTAAAGCAAGCTCTAGCACCAACCAAAATCGAAACTTGAACATAAGGATTAAGGCTTGAATCTGATAAGATACCTTGTATTGTTGAGGAATCAACTTTGCTTGAGCATGAATTAAAGGAAATTGGGGGTAAACGAGGATAGATATGTCCGATTAGGAGTTAAATTGGGTTGCAAACTGATCTTGGAAGAACCTAAGTTGAAAACTAATCTTGCCCCTACAACTGATTCATAACCATCACTTGTATCAGAGGTGGCACCTACAGAACCTGCTCCATAATCAAACTTTGGGATCTGGGTTAAATACACACACTGAAAAGGAACTCGGGATCACATTCAAAGAAGATGAAAATGGTATGTTTTGAACACAAAAGAAAAATGGTTACTGAGATCGATGGAGGAATAAGGAAGAACGAATGGAAGCTGCTTGAGGGTCGAAAAGAGATGAATACAAAAGGGAAAATGGTGGTTGTCGTCAGTTCTTCTTCTTCGCTGAATAGTGTCGATGGTCCTGTTTGCGATTGATCGGAGGCTTGCTTCAGCTTGCCATGGCGGTTTGGTAGTTATTGGGTCGGTCTGCCATTAAAATGGAAGGAAGACGAGAGGTTGGGCTGAAGAAGGCAACAAATTCGATGGTTGCTGGGTTTTTCTAGTGAATAGGAGGGGAGAGAGAGAGAGAGAGAGAGAGATTTTCTTTTATTTTTTAATATGTTTTTAGTTAGAAAATAATTAAATAACAAAAAGAAAAGAAAAAACAAATGGAAAATGATTAATTTGTCATTTTTATAAATTTTAAATTGTTATGGACTAAAAACACAGCAAAATGAAAACTTTTAAACTATTTGCACTAATCAAAATCTGTTTGGTCCAAAGTAGTATTTTTGAACATACTACTCTTAAAAGACATAATAATATGACTCACCTGTTTTTCTAGTTTGGTAGCAACGGGTATACCGATTTCTTTTCCGATTCTTTTCTGCAGTGCTTCACATAAGTGATACACCAGCCGTTCAACGGGAGAGCCGCTGTGGCAAGCCACCCAACCACACCGTGTTATGAATTTGCTGGCAACATCAAACTGCTTCCAGCCAACATTCTCGGCGGCCTTCAAAAGCTGGAAAACAAGCTCCACCTCCCTGGTCTCGTCTATCGATAAGCTCGAGAACGCCGACGACCCGTACGGATGAGTGAACATGGTGTATCCATTGACCTGTTGAGTTGAAAATTTTATAAACTTCTCCGCTGCCAGTTCGATGATTTCCACCGTCGACAGTTTCCCGGCACAATCCGGTACAATTTCGTCTGGTAAACGCTTAAATTTGCTCCGGGAACAACTCAGGAGCTGTTGAGACGCCGGAGAATTCAGATCGGGGTACGCTGATTTTGACTTTAACTTTGAATTTGCAATCCTCTTCGTTAATTGGTCGAATTCCGGTATCAAGAACGGTGTCTGATCATGGTTATCGAGATCTGGAACCTGGACTGACAATCGCTGCGCATCAAACTGATTAATGGTGTTGTTTACGTCTTCTAACGCAGGGAGTTCTTCGTCGACTGGCTGGTTCTCTATTTCCGGCGCCGGAAACTGATTGTTCAACTGTTCATAATCATACCCTTCAATGGGTTTATATTCTAGGAACTGGGTTTCGTCGAGGATGGAGTTTGGGTACATTTTAAATGAGAGAATTTGTAGAAAAGTAGATGAGTTTTTTTAATTGTGTGATGATGGGAGGAATCAAGAAACAGTGGATAGTGATAGTGACGAGGTGTGGTGGCCAGGATTGGAGATTAATGGCGATGTGAAGCACGAACAATAAGCACAAAGCAAATGAGACTTTCATTCCTAAGAAATTCGGCCGGCATAATTTGTTTGTATACAACAAAACAAAATGAATAGGTAGAGAATTGGTCTAAAAGTTTCTATTGATTTGCAATGGTGACACATTTGTATACGTCTGTTAAGAATATAATCGATAAAATGTTATATGACTGAAGCCGTTTGTCATATCGACATCCTTAAATAGATGAATGAATATCCATGGTTTTAGTGATAATTTTCTGGTTAGGTATAATACACTCCCTGGAAAAAGAAAAAGGTGTTTGACTCTTGCGATGTTAATCATGTTATCAATACTGGTCTAGGTGTGCAATGATAAAACAATAAAATTAGGACAATTTTTGTGGAACTAAATAGCTACTTGTCACCAAATGATTTCTAGTCCAGCGGTATCCGGTATTGTTCTTCCTACTTAAGATCGAGGGTTCGAGTTCTATTGTGCACATAGGTGGCATAGTACTTTAGTATATATATATATATATATGTATTTACCGTTCAAAAAAACAAAAAAACCAGTTGTCAGTGGAAAAATCAATTGATAGTTGATAACTTAATTACCGGTTAATAAGATAACCGGTAAAAAATATAAGAATTTTAACTTAATTGACCATCAAATACTTAGAAAATTTTCCAATTTAACTAACAAAGTTCTATTTGTATTAATTAAGCCTTTAATTTATCAAAAAAAAATCATTTATCATTTATTATAATTATTTTAAAACAATAAATGCATATTTTCTACACTACTCCGAAAATATTCATAGTATCTAAACTAAACCTATTTGTCGAACTGCACATTTCCAAACACATTGTACTTTATGTTTACATGTTTCCTACTTATATGGTAATTTTAGATCCTATATTTTGTAACTTTTTTTCCCGTTTTGGACCTAATTTACTTTTTTCAAAATAAGCCTAATGTTCGGTCAAATCAAAAACTTATAATTATTTCGCCAAGAAAGCGTTCTCTTGATCAAGAGGAGCACTCTCTTACCATGGAAGCATTCTTCCACCATGAAAACATTCTCTTTCCAAGAGAGTCTTCTCTCACCGAGGGAGTGTTCACTTTATCAAGGGGAGTATTTTCTCGCTAAGGGAGCATTCTCACTCACGTCATTTTCTCACTAGGAGGACATTCTCTCTCAGGCCATTTTGATCAAGTTTTCACACCCTAACAAATTCATACTTTAATATGGACTTATGTATCATTGGATTTTATAGAAGGATTACTACCTTCTAATCGGCACACATGAGCAATAGTTGAGATGTTTTCCAGATAACCAGGAGCGAAAATGGCTCGAGTGGATTCCTTGGGCTAAGATCAACTATAAAACATTTGTTCATTCATCTATTAAAGAAAAAAAGTCACTCCTTTTGAAGTTGTTTATGAAATCCCATCTCCCAATTTGTTAACTTACATTCAAGATATATTATGTGTCCAATTTCTTTGATAAAAACTTGTGAGACCATGATAGCATTATGTGTGAACTGCATCACAATCCTTTTGTAGCTCAAGAATAGATGAAATGTCAAGCTGATAAAAAATAACACGAGGTTTCCATTTCAATAGTAACAATGTCTAGCTTAAACTCCAGCCATATCAACAAAGTTTAGTGTTATTTCGGTCTTCAATGAAGTTGACTCCTTGTTTTTTTTGTCTTTAACATATGAACCAAAGGGGGTCTAGTAGCATATAAGTTAGCTCTCACATTCATGATAGGTTTCATGTTAGCATGTTATGTAAGCAATTTACTCATTGGTTACCCTAAATCCTGATTAACTACTCCCGGCCACAGATGATTCTATTGTCATTCCACGGCCTAAAGCATGTATAGATCTGTCAAGTTATTCGCTAAGGAGATTATCTTCCCAAGTCATAAGTTTTAATCAAATGGAAGGGGGCTCAAATAGAATATGTTACCTGGTAAAATGAATGACATTTCAACAAGGCATATCCAAATTTTCATCCTTGCAACAAAGGATCCTTACAGGGGTGATATGTAGCACTTCAAGAAATTAGTTGTGGTGGGTCATTAGGTTGTTAATTGTTGTATTAGGCGGTTCTTTATTCCTATTGTTTTGTATCATGTTGTTGGAGTTTACATTTAGTTTTCAAAAAGCATTCAAACTTTTTTTTTCTTATGCAAAAATTTCCTTCTTCATCCTTGAATTTTCTTTATCCTTTTTCCTCTTTAGTTTCCTTAGTATCTGGCTGATGAAGCAATTTGATTAACCTTTCATCTACCCATTTTTAGGAGATGGAAAATAATATATCTGAAGAGTAAGTTAAGCTCTAATTGTTTTAATTATCTTTTCTATATAAATTAGACAAGTAATTTGTCAATCACATTCAACTAAGTACAAATAAATGATTTGAGACAGACTTGTGTCATTCATGCTTCAGTTTCTTAGATTTTGGGGGTTTATTAGCTTTTTTGGTTTATTGTCCTTGGATTTGTGAAGAGATATGTAAAAAAAAAGTTGGTTTCATGACCACTTATCAATACATGAATGATGATAAGAACGATGGTTAGAGAAAATGGAAAATGTGTGGTCAGAGAGGTGGGGAAGGGGCATGGTGGATACTGACAACTCAAGAGAGATGCTTGTAGGTTAACACGCGGTGGGGAAGGGGTATGGTGGATAGTGACGACACAAGAGTGATGGTTGTAGGGATAAAACCATAAATTATTAATTATTAATAAATATATAACAATTAATAATTAATATAAAAATTGATATAATGTATATAAAAATGACAACATATGATCGTATTAACATAAATAAATGTTAGGGTGAATTACATGAATCATCCCTTGTTCCCTTTCAACAACCCTAATTTTATTTCTTCTTTTTCTCATTGATCTTCATCAAATGATGACCTAGATTGTAGAACATCAGTGTTGATGACCTCCACTTTCTCTTCATACATTACTACATTGGCTGTTGTAATAGGGGTACTATCAACCCACTCCCAAATTATCATCAATGTTGAGATAGAAATATTGCATGCCTACTTTAGGATCATCCAACAAGTTATCCTCATCGACAAATAAATCACTGTCATCACTTTCACTTGAATCTTCACTACCCTAAATATTACTATATCCTATTAGGGGTTTACTAAAGGTTTCCACAACAGGGGGGGTCCATTTTTGGTTTGTTCACAACTTCAACATCAACTTGATTATGGGATTCCATTCTAGGGGTGAAACATATGCGACATCTATCTGACTAGGGGTTTCCATGCTAGGTTCCATTATAGATTCAAAAACATGAGCAACAATAACATCACTAGGGGTTTGCATGGTTGGTTCAGAAACAAGAGGTTTAACTATGGTTGTCTCAATCCTTCCGAGATAAAACCTTCTAAAACAATAAGGGGGTTCAATAATCTCTTCAATCCTTATTTTTGTTGGGTTACGAGACATAGCATATATATGCAATTTGGTATGCCAAAATTATGTATATGATGTGCTTTAAAGTCACTAAGCTTTAAATTTATAAACCTAACCAATTTTACTAGCTAAAACACAATAGGTAGTATACATGGTCAAGTAGTAGGATAGTAGAGCAACTAAGGGGTCAAACACAGGGAACATAATTTTAAGCTAAAAAATAAATGGTAGTAATTAATCTAAAATAAATAACTTTAAATGGGGATTTTATCTAATTTTTCAAGTTCAGAAAAAAAAAACTTGAATTAAAAAAATTAATCAATAACTTCAAACAAAAGCAAACAACTAGAAAACGATGTTTAATCAAGAATTAAAGACGATTCCGTTTAGCTTCAAATCCCCTTTTTCAAATGGTCGATTTAAAGATAATGAATTTAGTCCATTGGTTACCAAATTATATTTTAGTAATCATCTTGATCTGATTACCTATCATATACAAATTTATGAACTTCAATTACAATGGTCAAGCAACTTAAGATCACTGAATTTATTATTAGATATTTATTGGACTATGAATGATAAGATCTAAGAAATACCTATCTATGATCAAGATAAGTAAATTAAGCACATATTTGGTATCAAAAATGCTTCTCTAACATAATTATAGAAATTAATTTCACCACTTAACTCTAGGATATGTTCTATCTCTATATCTATCAATTCATATATCATAAACAACTAGATAACAAGTTTGAGCAATCAAATAAATCAACTAACTACACAAAACTTGAAGGGAAAGCACAAAAGTTAAGAGCTTTAACATACTAGGATAAAGATCTAGTGAATACAAGTTAAAACCAACTCATAAATCCATAAATTAGAAATCAACGCATAGTATTAGGGTTCATCTAATATAAACGAAAGTAAGGGATTATTATCCCATAATAAACTCAAAAACACAATAAAAAACTAAGTAAACTAGTGTACACATGATAAAAGCTAGCAAACCGATTGATTTCTTGCGTTCTTTGTGTGGATTTCTTCGAATACTTGATATCCAGTCGAATCACTGCATCCTCAGGGTTTCTCAGAAGGTATTAGTCACAAGTCACAAAAACATTCCCCCAAAATTCAACCTAGAGATAGTATAAATACTTTCATTAAATTGGTCATCACACTGTGGAAATCAAACATCCATGTTGTGGGAAATACCTTTTACGCGTGGGATTCATGTCTTAGTGTAATGTCCCATTTTCACAACCAAAAATTTCATTTATATTAAGGTAAAACTTCCAAATTATAAATCCGTTTTAAGAAAACCAATTATTCTGAATTACATTCATCAAAATGCAAAGTAATATAATATAAATAATGTGGAATCCTCAATGTTGTTGATATTGTACAGTCTTGTCTTCGCCTTCCCACAATCATCGATAGAACCTGAAACATAAACAATTGGTTAAGCACAAAGCTTAGTGAATTTCCCCAAAATACCCTATACAACCAAAATAATTATACATATTGCATGTTTGGTCCACAACCTCCCGATTGGATTACCCTGGCCTACAACCTCCCGGTTAGATTACCCTGGCCCACAACCTCCCGGTTTTCTTACCATACATATTTCATGTTGAGTCTACAACCCCTCAGTTGGATTATCCTGGCCCACAACCTCCTAGTTGGATTGCCACTCTGGCCCAAAATCTTGTGATTGGATTGCCCCGGGTTTGTTGGCTTACAACATAAAGCA